ACGATAATTTTGACCTCTGTACGATGTACGATCAATAACGGAAAAAAATATCCCATAATGTACGATAATTTCATACTTTTATGACAATTCAAATGATGGTAGTTGTAGTCATAGGGCTTCTATATTCATACACGAAATCGGCTCATTACAGACACTCTAAACACCTCAGAGTGTGTAAGAATACAGGAGGGTGCCCTGCTTTAAAGCCAACGAGCACTATGTTGTGGTCCATGACGGCAAGAACCCCCTCAACATCTGGCAACACGCAGGCTTCCGATGACAGCGGCTCAGATGTGGAGTTAACATCTAAAGTCTGTCTACACTGGACGCGACAAAGCGAGTGTTAAAAATCATTTTAATACGTTATAAATAGAACGAGGCATCAGTTTACTGTCGGGTATGTGTCGTGTCGTGTGGCATCCAGTGCAAACAGTCACTGATTATAATGGTTTCTATAGTATTTTGTCGCACTGCTCGCGTCCAATGTAAACACGGTACGCCTAGTTATCTATTGTGGTAATTTGCAGGTCGTGTTAAAAAGTTAAATAGCTGTATTCTGTACGTTTGACTCGTGTACGATAATTTTGAGCTTCTGGTACGATACTTGGACATTTCCAATCTGGCAACACTGCTACTGAACGAATGTGCTTGCGAAGCAGTCAGGCATTTAGCAACTTATTAGCAACTTATAGAACAAAAGTTCAGTCTCTTTAAAATAATACTAACTACAGAACCTGTTTTACTTACAAATCTAAAATCACTATTGTAGAAAACAGTAGGACATTACAGAGGGAACGCATGGCTTGAAAATGCTGATTCTCTTCTGATTCTAACACACTGAACCAAACACACAAGCACAACAATCATGGAAGTGCCTTTAGATATGCTGTGCTAAGTCTTTAGCCTACAGCTTGGTAACGTACCACCTTTATGGAGCCCAAATAATTACATTTGTTTGCTCAAATGTTTGTCTTGAGGCCCTTGGTTGTAATGACAGCACTGTCACTGAGCACTTGAGTCGTTTATCCAGGACTTTCCTGGACCATCTGTCAAAGGTGATAATGGCCAACGGTTAATTGCACCTCATGGCCCATTAGCTGCTCATAAAGGCAGGTGTGTAGGCCATAGATAGCTTTTACAGGGGTGCGATGGCACAAACAGACCGGCAGATGTGACTTCTATTTCCAGGCATTAATACAATTATGACCCTTTCCTGCTAAAAGCAACAAGATTATTGAGATTGAAAAGACAAAGATGCTAAAAGGTTTCTGATGGATCAAGCAAATGAAACACATCCTGATATTCAAGTCACTGTAGCTTAGCGTGTCATGCTAATAATAATTTTACATCATTAAAAAAATGTATTTAAAATTATTAAAATGTATCTGTTATATTTTCAGACGAGAGACACACCTGAATGATTGAATTTTGAGTTTGGATTGTAAAATAGATTGCCAAATTGGATTCAGTCTACTGAAAAACTGCTTAGCATTAATCAAAGATCTAAAGACTTGCCAGTGTGCTTAGCGGTCTTGTTTCACTGGCATGAGAGTTTTTCCTCCTGATATACAGCCTGATGCTGCTGTTTGCTCTTGGTGTTGGCGTGGTTAATCGATGAGGGCCGGCAGAGGGGAAAACACTTTCTTCTCACCGTTAATCATGTGCATAGCTCTCGCTCAAGCTTTCAACATGAGTGGACGGTCGGCAACTTCTTACGCACTTGCCCTTCCAACAACCTCTGGCTTGTGAGTTAAGATGTTTGGTTCGCCTGTCATTTATTTCCTGCATGCATGAGCTACATATACAAATGCCAGCTTCAGATCATATTTTATATATAACATTTTTTATTTATATTCCCACAGGAAAAGCAGTGAAAGCCTGAATATAAGTGCATGGCCACTGCCTCGAAATTCACATCAGGACATACCATAAACAATCACACAAGAATCAAAACTCTATTTGAGAACAAAATGTACACTGTTCCTCACAAGTTGCCAATCCTGTCATATAAGCCCTGTCGTTTGAGAGTCTAGCTTCAAATTATGAAGAAGCTACAGACATGCTATGCTCTGAAACTGGTGCTAACAGATTGTCAACCACCATGCTAATGCTAAACAGACATACATATTCCAGCGGTTTCATATTAAGAGTTACTAAACATTCATTCACACTTGAATTTAGTCTTTCAGGACACCAATCAAACGGTAATCGTACCTTACAATCGTAACAGCAAGCAATGAGTAACAGATTTCATTTGTAGCTTATTTTAACGTATAGAAAGTCTCCCATTAATCTGTGTGACACCATCTTCTATACAGGCACGAGATGAAAATTTTAACCATAAGTTATTCATTTTTCCACAGTGAAAGAGAAAATGCAACACAATCACAACCAGCCAGAACATATTTGACGTTTAAAGGTGAAGTGTGTAATTTCTGCACGACTAGCATTGACAAACAGCAAAAAATTACTGTTTTCAAACAGGTTTCCTAAACAATTACTCCATCCGCCATTGGTCAAACAAACAGATAGCCCCACCCCAAATTCAAGCTATTGGTCAAGCCAACACTGCAGACTGTAGAAGTTGTGACAACTGTTGTGACTGTTTAGAACACTGTGCTGCGGATCATGTTCTTAAGTTCATGAATTAAGTTCATACAAAATAATAATAATTATAATAGTAATATAAAACCATTGTGTTTATATAATTTCATATTTGTACAATTTAACCACATTTACAAAGCCAACATACTCTACTGGGTAACACTTGAAATTATTTCTCCACCCCATTGACTTTGTTGGGGTCGACAACCATTTCATCCTTCTGTGATGCTTTTCAAACATCTTATTTGTGAGGATTGAACCCACTGAAGGACAATCGAAGGACAGAAAGTTTGATAGTTCCCCACGTGAGACTCTCTGTTGTGATCAGTCTTGTTTTTGAGAGTGCTGGTATGAAACGTTTCCTCCTGCGTGCGTTTCTGTGCTAGAACGGCCCAGGCTGACCTCAGTCTCTGAGCCTGCAGAGTTTACGAGTCAGAGGAAGCAGAAAGATGTAGAGAGATCCTCTGTGAACATGGAGGTCCAGGTCTTCTCTACTGTCAGCGTTTTTTGAAGGATTTTATGGTTTGTTGTGGAGGCACTGTCGGAGGGATGCAGGGTTCTTCGGGTCCAGACTCTCTTAAAAAGACTGAGTCCGGCTCGGAGGAGCAGGTGGAACTCCTTTCATTCAGGATGACCTGAGAGTACATGGGCTCCAGGGGAACGGAGAGGTCCAGATACTCCTGCAAGGGAAACATATACGTTATTAAGTCATTCCTATAATGCACTTCAATGAGAACAGTGAACATTTTCATCCAAGTTGGCAGATGGAGCAGCATATTTGCATTTTGGACCCAAGCCTTAAAGGGTTAGTTCACCCAAAAATTAAAATTCTGTCATTAATTACTTTACATTAATTACTTACTTTTGCACAAAGAAAACTAAATTAATGACTTTATTCCACATTTTCATCTCTACTGCGTCACTTGTGGACGCGTGTTCACGACAGTATCATGAAGCGAGTATGTGGCGGGCGTAATGACGTCATCACGCCAGATCTGGGTCAGCGCCGGCACCGCCACACGCTCGCGTCATGATACTGTCGTGAACGCGCCGAGGGTGAGTAATTAATGACAGAATTTTCATTTTTGGGTGAACTAACCCTTTAACAGAGTTGCTGCCCATGATATGCATTTCACATCAGTCACTTGTGAGGATTCATTTTGAGTGGGATGCTGACATAAAAGGTAGCTACTTATGTAGTCTGCTGGCCTTACCTGATTGGATATCATGGACAGGGTGCGATCAAGGTCTTCTACCAGCTGTTTAAAAGTTGGCCTCTGTGTGGGAACTGCATGCCAGCAGTCTTTCATCATCAGGTATCTGGAGAAAAAAAAACAATTGCTTAACTGAGCCATTATGTGAAGACAACATGAAATAATTTATTTTTGTATTAAATCTTATTGTGCACAATTCATCACTGCATTTTATTCTAATGAAAAATATGTAATTACTGCTATTTTCCACCAAAAGTGGAATCTTTTAAACTTGTATTAAAATGGTTGACACATTTTTGAGCGATGTAATTAAATAATGCAAAAAAAAGTGAAATAATTATATAATATAGAAAAAAATAACATTTATTATTAAAATAAATAAAAAATATAGTCCGTTTCAATAAATATTTACTTTAATAATAATTAAGTAATTATTATTATTGCAAATCAAATAAATATTTATTAAAATAAATAAATTACAAAGTCTGTTTCATTCAAGAATGTGGCGTGTTATAGAAGTTAAATGTTTTTAAAAGATTCTATTTTATCAAATTCAGAAGGATTTTAGTTGCTAATCAAAATATCTGAATGGGCCTTTTTATCCTAAAGAAAAAAATCTGCTAAAGTAAGAAAAAAGAAAGAAAATAAATAAATAATTATTATTACAAAAACAAACAAATAAATGAATATGATAAGTTTCACTCAAAAATGTTTCACATTATGGAAGTTAAATGTTTTTGATTTGTTTGAATGTTGCCATTTTAAAAGTTTTTAAAGATTCTATTTAATCAAACTAAAAGGAACATCTTTTAGTCACTAATTATAATGTGCCGTACATCTCCTGAGTGCAGGCTGAGGGTCTGTCCATGCGATGACCTTCTCGCAGTAGCTTGAAGAGCTCTTCCACGGGCACTCCTGGATAAGGCGAGCCCCCCAGAGTGAAGATCTCCCACAGAAGAACACCAAAAGACCACCTACAACATGAGATCACTCAGTACCAAAACAGAACCAAGAAACTGTACTTTTATGAAGTAAGAGAGCTGATATGAAGATATACTGGAATTGAAAACATATGAGCCATCTTACACGTCACTTTGATGCGTGTAAATCCTGTCAAACAAAGCCTCAGGTGCCATCCATTTGACAGGCAGCCGGCCCTGAAGAAGAAATAAAGACGTTCATCTTGTCATATATTGACTTTTTAGATAATAAATACAACTATGAAGAACTGACTGCTTACATTTGTAGTCTTCTTGTAGTAATCTATGTGATGAACATCCCGGGCCAGACCGAAGTCTGCTATCTTCATTACATTGTCCTCTGTTACAAGTACATTGCGTGCTGCCAAGTCTCTGTGGATACACTGTTGAGGAACACACGGAGACCAAAAAAAGCATTAATTTCAGATATGTCAACAATACCTTTTTGGATGCCAGGTACTCCATGCCACGAGCCACTTGGTAAGCACAGGAGACCAAGTCTTTGATGGACATGCTCTCCACAGGCACCTGGTCAGGATTGTAACAGTACTCCATGCCATGCGGCCGGCGGGCACGCAGATATTCCCGCAGGTTTCCTTTAGAGGCGTATTCCACGATGACATAAAGAGGGCCTTCAGGAGATTGGAAACAAACGTGTGTTTTGAGAGAGGAAATCCTTGTAGTGTGATCCAGCATCTTCAGAATAGAATCATCAGATGGGCTCTTACCATTCTGGGTACAAGCTCCGAGCAGGTTGATGATGTTCTTGTGTTTTCCAATCATCTTCATCATCTCCATCTCTGAGATGAGGTCAGACAGATCCTTCTCAGTGGCGTCAGCTAATAAAAACATGCAAAATATTGATGAGGTCTGGTTAATAATGTTATCTGATAAATAATATGGTTTGGTCTTAAAGCCCCCATGAAATCAAAATTGGAGTTTTATGACTAAAAGTCCATGTCTGTTTGGTCTGCAAAAAATCATTTCCTTAATTAGTATTTTTGTCTGGTTTTATAATATATTATTGAAAATAAATACCTAAACATAATAAATTCCTCAACCTTATAATAATAATAACTATTATTATTATTTATTAAATAAATATATAAATATGGCTATTCTAGAAAAATATTATTATTCTGTATATTTGCATTTATTTCCCCCCAAATTCCTTATTCTTGTTTATGCAGAAATTTAATACAATTTAGTGAGGTTTATCATTAAAACAAGAAAAAAAAATGCCAATGGGGTAAGCACAATAAATATTTGTAATATTTAACAATAATAATAATATTTATAAATGTATTTTAATTCAAAATACATTTCAAATCGAGTAAGAGAATATGAAAATGTACATAATTTTGCTGCTCAAGTAAATGTATCTTGTTTTAATGATTTTACAGAAAAACAAGACAAAATACTAATTAATTTAATAATAATATAAATAAAATATTTTTGCAGGGTATGATATTCTGGTCTCTCCTTTAATGTAAGACTATGAGGGTTTTTTTTATGGTTGCTTTATCATAAATCAGTCAGATCCTATAGAAATCGCATCAAATCATTTCATGGGGTCTTTTAGGCGGTTAATTTGCAAAACCACATACATTTCAGCATTTTCACAGCAACTTTAGTTATGCGGTTGGGCTTGTCTTTGTGCAGTCCAGTGGCTTCGCCCATCACCACCTGACCAAAGCAGCCCTCGCCCAGAGGTTTCCCAAGTACCAGCCTGTTACAAAAATACAGATGAACAAGATATCAGAATAATTTGACCCTGTTAACATTGCGTGCTGCCAAGTCTCTGTGGATACACTGTTGAGGAACACACGGAGACCAAAAAAAGCATTAATTTCAGCGCACAATTTAAATAATTTTTTTTAATAAATTACACAATATTAGGGCTGTAACAACTAATCGATAAAATCGATTATGAAAATCATCGACAACGATGTATTCCACGATGACATAAAGAGGGCCTTCAGGAGATTGGAAACAAACGTGTGTTTTGAGAGAGGAAATCCTTGTAGTGTGATCCAGCATCTTCAGAATAGAATCATCAGATGGGCTCTTACCATTCTGGGTACAAGCTCCGAGCAGGTTGATGATGTTCTTGTGTTTTCCAATCATCTTCATCATCTCCATCTCTGAGATGAGGTCAGACAGATCCTTCTCAGTGGCGTCAGCTAATAAAAACATGCAAAATATTGATGAGGTCTGGTTAATAATGTTATCTGATAAATAATATGGTTTGGTCTTAAAGCCCCCATGAAATCAAAATTGGAGTTTTATGACTAAAAGTCCATGTCTGTTTGGTCTGCAAAAAATCATTTCCTTAATTAGTATTTTTGTCTGGTTTTATAATATATTATTGAAAATAAATACCTAAACATAATAAATTCCTCAACCTTATAATAATAATAACTATTATTATTATTTATTAAATAAATATATAAATATGGCTATTCTAGAAAAATATTATTATTCTGTATATTTGCATTTATTTCCCCCCAAATTCCTTATTCTTGTTTATGCAGAAATTTAATACAATTTAGTGAGGTTTATCATTAAAACAAGAAAAAAAAATGCCAATGGGGTAAGCACAATAAATATTTGTAATATTTAACAATAATAATAATATTTATAAATGTATTTTAATTCAAAATACATTTCAAATCGAGTAAGAGAATATGAAAATGTACATAATTTTGCTGCTCAAGTAAATGTATCTTGTTTTAATGATTTTACAGAAAAACAAGACAAAATACTAATTAATTTAATAATAATATAAATAAAATATTTTTGCAGGGTATGATATTCTGGTCTCTCCTTTAATGTAAGACTATGAGGGTTTTTTTTATGGTTGCTTTATCATAAATCAGTCAGATCCTATAGAAATCGCATCAAATCATTTCATGGGGTCTTTTAGGCGGTTAATTTGCAAAACCACATACATTTCAGCATTTTCACAGCAACTTTAGTTATGCGGTTGGGCTTGTCTTTGTGCAGTCCAGTGGCTTCGCCCATCACCACCTGACCAAAGCAGCCCTCGCCCAGAGGTTTCCCAAGTACCAGCCTGTTACAAAAATACAGATGAACAAGATATCAGAATAATTTGACCCTGTTACAGAGGAAAAGAAGTGAGAAAAGTTCAAATTCTAGATGCACAGTGTGTGTACCTCTCTCGGGGCACTTCCCAGCATGGGTCCTGGGGCAGCTCGTACTCAGACACCCCTGACAGCATGGAGGAGAGTCGTGAAGGTCGGACCAACATCACGCCAGAGTTCAGAGAGGAACTGGATTCCACCGACACCTGTAGAGTGAGGAAGTAGAATGGGGGGTTTTAAGGGCCTTTAGAAGGATACAAGGGCCCTTCTTTGGACAGCAGTACATCAAGGCCCTTATCTGTTACCTGTCTGCGGAGAGGAATGCTTTTGGCCAGCTTATGGACAGCCAGCTGGCTGTTGAAGTCGCTCTTCTTGGACGAGCTGCGGACTTTGATGATGGTGGCGATTCCTACCATGAGGAAGATGAGGAAGAATCCAACGCAGTAGATCAGCACCTCCAGGTAGGACTGACTGGGGACTGCAGAGGGAGCGGTTGGGGCTTGTGGGACAAATAGAAGGCTACGCAGTCAGTAAAAAAATTTATTTATACATCATATTTTACTTTTTTATTTTATTTAAGTGTTATTTTAGCATTATTTTTAAACTATTATAGTTTTTATTAATACTCTTAATTTTATATTTTCAGTTTTCATTTTAATTTTAGTTGAATTTGAGTAATTTTGTTATGTGTTTTTGTCACTTTTATTATTATTATTATTATTTTTTAATATTACTATTTTAGGTTACATTTATTTTTATTTCAGTTTTAGTTTTAGTTAACGACAATAACTCTGTTTCGTAAGTCTAGTTTTCCAGTAAAAACATCCTCAAAACAAGATTTTACTTGATTTACTTGGCAAGCAAAATTAAAAAGATATAGAGTTGTTTTCAGAGAAAATTAATTTAATTATATTTATTTTAAGTATAAATAAAAAAATTGTGAGGTTTATATGCAATCCCGTTTCCGCAACTGAATAAAAAAATTAAAATGTAATTGCGACTTTTTATCTCACAATTCTGACTTTTTTCAATGCAATTGTGAGTTTATATCCAGCAATTTCGACATTAAAACTCACAATTCTAACTTTATAACTGAGAAATGAAGTCAGAATTTTAAGGTATAAACTTGCAATTGTGAGAAAAAAAAAATCTGAATTGTGAGATAAAAAGTCACAATTACATTTTTTATGTTTTATTCAGTGGCGGAAACGGGCTTCCATAAATTTATGCTGAACTTGATGTTATTTTACACAAATTTTGCTTCTCAAGTAAATGTATTTAGACAAAATATGGATTATAATAGTGATGCTTGCCATAGCAAAGAGCACTAATAAGGCTGATTCACTTTTACAGTGTCAAGAACACCTCTGTTACTGTGTCTACTACAGCATTAAACAGTGCTTTGGATTGACACACACTGGTAGATGCTGGTGACAGGCACACACACACACACACACACACACGTATCCACACATACACCAAGCTCTGTTTTATTTCAACCAGTGCATTTGACACTATTGGCACTGAGAAAAGAGCACAAGCACCCTTTTGTGGCCACATAATGGCTCCTTTGTGGCGTAGTATTTCGCCCCACATTCTCCACCAGCGTGAGGCTGCAGTCATCCCATGCACAAGTATGAAACTGAACCATCCTGGCCAAACTGTCTTGGAAGGCCAAAGTGACACATGGCTACACCTGAGGGGTTGTTATTAAATTAGAGCATCGTTCATATAGAGTTGAGCTGTTCTGCAATAGTATACAGTGGTTGAAATAAAACAAATCCTCCAGAAGATAAGGAACTAATTTTGTGATGCTTGATCTGATCATGAATTATTTTTCCCACAAGGAAACCCATATTAGTTAGTGATCAAGCTGATAATCCATTGGATTAGAGGAAGTGGCATCAAGCTATCATAGCCACACAACTCTGTAAGTAGATGCCAACTTCATACATTAGTAAAAAATGTTTTAATGATCCAATGATAATGCAGCATCAAGTCACAGTAATAATTTCAGATTATAGTCAAAGAACTATAACGCTGCTCCAGAACTATACCGGTACCTAGATCCCATTTTAAGGCATTATATTCATGCTTCACACAAAAAGTGGTTCAAAAATTATTTAACAGTGGGTGATTTTACCCAATATTGTTTGAACCATTTTGAGCAGAGGTTCTCAATCAGAGGTGCCGGGGCCCAATAGGGGGGCTTAGTGAACTTCTAAGGGGTCTCGAGATGACTTAAAATGATTAAACAAGACAAACCAAGCATTAAAATAAGCTACAAAAAAGCTAATTCTTATTTTAATTCAATCCCTCAACAATGTTTTATTTTCTTTCGAAGAACCAGGTTTCCCACTGTCTTGATACATGAGATAACCTCATTTTAAAAGAGACATTTCCAGATCGAGAAATAACATGTAAATTAATAAAAGTCTTGTGCTTTAATTATTATTAAATTATAATCCTTAATCCTTATCGAGTAAATCATGAAAAACAGAAAATTCATCAAGCCTTCGATTCTTATTGTGGACTAAGGGGAGTCAAAAAGGTTGAGAACCAGTAGAGTAGATTATTGATTTGTCATCTTAGCAATATGCTAACGCCAGTTTCTAGTGCAAATCGAATCTCCTTTGTGCTTTTTGTGGGGTGCAGGAAGTCACAGTCTATGTCAAGCATTCCAATAAGTCACTTACGAGGTTCAGTCACAGTTAGGATGCTGCCTTAGAAGACAACAAAGTAACTCACTAGGTTTTGGAACAGAGCTTTTATGCAAATTGTTATCAGTCTGCTTACTCTCAAAATGAGCATAACTATAACTCATTTAATCTGAATATAGGTGACTTGATGTGCACTAACCACTCATTAAAACAACAAAGATAGCAGGTCAGAGAGAGAAAACGAGGTATTTAGAGAAAAATTAGTAGGTGAAGGAGGTGAAACAGTGCTATAACTGGTGTCATTTGCCAGGTCAATGGGAAGTGAAAACCACTGAGGGCACCTCAGTAAGATGATACTTATATGGGAAGATGTCACTAAAATCCAAATGTTTGGTCTACTCGGCATGTTGGTGCCACGCATGGGTGATTTGCACCTGTGGACGGCCACACACGTTCCCATGAAACACCTCGTCCTTTGTCAACGGTGCAAAATATACACCGGCTAAAGTGATAGCTGAATAAATGCTCTTTGAATAAATGCTCTTTCAATATCAAACAATATTGGGTAAAATCACCCACTGGCAAATGCTCTTTGACTTATACGTGGTTCACCTGAAACTGGCGAATGACACAAACAAATAGCCACTGTTGGGACGAGAAGGAAAGGTCTAGAGAGGACAGAAAAGAGTTGCCGGATACCTTTGACAACGGTCAACCAAGCTGAATGATGGGAGATCCCAATTGAATTGCCCGCCAAGCAAGTATACTCCCCAGCATCCTCAAAGGACACATTCCTCAACTGGAGCACCTCCATCTCCTTGTCGGTGGTGTTGAGGCCTGCCGTCTGGAAGAGAACGAGAAAAGCAGACCCAAGGCCCAAGACGTGAGGGGAAGGGAGGAGGAAGCGGGACAACGTTGAGCTTGGGAAATTTTGGGGAGTCGTTGCGTCTATCTGGTTGGATTAAAAACCAGTTAGATGCTCGGGAATCCACCTGAAAACTTTCTATCACCTGTAGAGCGATCAAATATTGCTGCCCAGCACCATCACCTTCGATCTACCTCCACCCACATCAGGCAAGCCACATGGAGACTCTCTCCGGTAAGACCCAATCCATAGCGAGGGAGTTGTCGCCATTGGTTGGGTCGACCGGGAGTTTCCATGGCATAATCGGATAGGAAAACCCAAAGCATGAGAGAAACCCAAGGCTAAAACCTCTGCGGAGATCACTTCATGCAACACAGATTATCCTGTGGTCAAGTTACCTTGCATGTCATGTCTAAGGACAGTTAACCAGGCTGACTGATTGGCTTCTCCTATATAATTGGACACTTTGCATATATATTCACCGCCCTCTTCTTCTGTGATATTGTAGAGCGTCAGCACCTGGGTGTCCGAGCTATTGACCCCCGAGTGCTGGAGATGACAAGAAACCAAATTCATCACATCCAATCCCAACCCAAGACATCCTAATATGTGTGGACCACTTATATGAAACTGCTCCATGTTAGTCAGACTTAAGCAAACTGACTGCATTTCTATGTAAACCTTTACCTTTAGGACGCGTACGTAAGGTAGTCCGTCAGGTCCCAGTTTGCTTCCATTCACATGTATGTGTTTGAGCCACTGAATGTGAGGCTGGGGATCGCTGAAGACCTTGCAAACAAACTCTACGTCACTGCCGACCACAGCTGTTCGATTTGCAGGGAGACCAGCGTACAGGATGGGCCTGTGAGGCGATCGCTCTGAAATATACACAAGACAGGGTTTGTTAGATTTCTATTTAAGCACAGTATTTATTCCTGAACTGCTACTGGTCGATATTGAGAGTTGACTGACCCACTACATCCAGCTGATAGGTGTGATTGATGCTTCCATATTCGTTCTCCACCAGACATGTGTAGTTGCCCTTGTCTGAGGGCACCACGGACTCCATGATTATGGTCCACATGTGTTCCCGCAGCTGAGAATAGAAGAAAATAAATATTCTTTAAAGTGTATTCACACAATATTTTCTCCAAATACACACACACAAAAAATGAAAACCAGGTATGCATACTCCATTCACAAATCTCTTATGTGAAATACATATATATCTATTTTTGGCTTATTGATGGTTTAAAATGATTAATTTCCAATTAAAGAGTCCATCATTTACCAAACAGAAGTATGAATAAATATAAGAACAATATTTAATAATTTTCATTTATGCTGACCAATACAACAATAATAATAGTAATTTTAAATTATTACATTAAAAAAACACATATGGATAAAGGTTTGAAGCAGTTAATTGAAACAGACTGACTGATTCGTAAATGAATCATGATTCTGAAACTGATTCACAGAAAAGAAAGTTTACTCAAGTTTAAAGACACTTAAAACATCAGTTTTAATGCTCTTGTAACTGCAAAACTATTGTAATAATGCACCCTGAAGGGAACGTATTGGCCAAATAAACATCAAAATCACTTTGATATTAATGATGTTGCTTAATTTTAATTGTTGGTTACTAATTGTTCTAGCACATTGTGGTACTTCTTGTCTTGATATTTGCACATCGTCTCTCTACTGTATGTTGAGCCATTTTTACATTTTCTGGGGCCTTAAAAGTAACGAGTTTCACCCCTCTGTTTACTTCTATATGGCTGGTGTGACAAACTCTCTTGAATCCATTTTTAAATCGGCAGCAAATCATCACAAATATTTTGCCAAGCCCCAATCACTACGGCAAACTATTTGTAACCAGAGCTCCGTTGTTTCCTGCACGTTAACATCAGGGTGTGTGTATTCAGGTGTCGGGTTCAGGGTGTAGAGATTCAGGCTGTGATTTTGGCCTATTGTAAGCTGAGGTATCAGCTTTCGTTCTCTCGGCTCAGGTGCAGAGTAAATGAGGGCTGTATGTCCCACATAACAGTGATATCAGTCAGTTACTGAAGTCTGCTCATGTGCAAACGTACCTTATAGCCCCCGATGCGCTGGTCTCTTTTGAACTCTTTTCCATTCTTGAGCCAGCGTAGTTTCGGAGTCGGGTTTCCCTCGGCCTGACATCGGAATTTCACCGTTTTGCTGGCCGGTACGGCATGAAGCTTTTTTTCCATCTTTTCAGGTTGGGCCCAATGAGGTGCCATCGCTACAGAGGAAATATGGTATTAATAACAAAAAACAACTCATCATTTGATTTCCTTCCCGAAAACGAGAGTGCATGCTTACGTAAGAGCTCCTGGCTACTTGATGGTTTGTTCTCTTCTGATGATGACTCATCGTCATCCTCATCCTCGGAAGACGCTACTGCATGACCTGTGACAAAGTCGACAGGATGTGTGTCAGAGAATAAATTCATACAGCCGCCCATGGTCAGAATATAGCCATGCATGAGTCCACAACTCATCATGCATGATTTAGATGTCACAAATTCAGCAAAGCACATGCAGATGTGGTTATTTATTTGTCTGTTTGTCCACCTTGATTGTCAAACCTGCTAATGTCTTGATTTATATCCCTTAAAGTGTTTGATTTTACCAGTCATGAAGCAAAGAATAGTAGCAGGTTGAGAAAGGAGAGGCTTGCAATGCTTTTATTTATGAAATGATTTATGTATTCACAGTATTCTGGTGATTTTGTATTCCTGCTTGATCTGAATAGTGAACCAGGATGAAGTAACGCATCCGCCCTTCACAGAGTGTCGGACAGTGAGAGCGCATGAGTCACTACAGGCTCCGCTCCAGAGCCGTGCCCACGCTCCCATCACACAGACGCAAACACACACACTCTGGGGAGCTGTCTGACAAATTCACCACTCAACGCCTGACACATTCCACAGCTGAACAGAGAGAAACGACATCACAATGTCTCAGTTGCTCATCTATAACAACAATACAATCCCAAACAGCAACTTAAACTAGTTTTTAACAACTTCAAAAGACAATAAGTGGTGTTTGCCTGTGCAAAACTTGCCTGCACGATGCCAGGGGGTTGCTATGTGGTTGCTTAGATCAGTGTTTCCCAACCGGGGTGCCGTCTGTCCAGAGCAGGGGTGCCGAGCAAAAAATCTTTTTTTAATATTTTTAAATTGCTAAAATGTTCAAAAAAAGCATCTATTATATAATATCCATTTCTGATGTCGCCAATAATTAGAAATGCACCGAAATTTCGGCTGCCGAAAATTAGTTCACCGCTCAGGTTTCACTTTCACGTGGTGTGACGCTCTGCGTATTATCCCGCTCTATGCGTGTGCGCTCCGCTCAGTCGCTCTGCCACAAGTTTGTTAAAATTTCCAAAGGGTGCCGTGACAAAAAAAGGTTGGGAAACACTGGCTTAGATCACGTCTGGGTCATATTTTAACCATATTTTAACATATTTTATAGTTAAAAGAAAATAATTATTACATTAGAAAATAAAGAAAAAAATGAAATGAAAGAAAATATTTTCATGACAATTGATCAATTTACAATTAACCAAATTACAGTAATGGAAAAAAAAAGTCTTTCTTTTGACAGGAATGTGAAAAAAATGTATTTAAATAATAATGATTTTAGATATTATTTAAATTATAATGTATTTATTCATAACAGGATATTATTTGTTGTACTGCATTTAAATAATAATAAAAAAACAAAGAATAAATTGAAACTGAAACATTGCATGTATTTTAGATATAACATGAACGAAAAATTTTCAATGTCCTTTTTGAGAACAATACGAAATTGCAAAAAAAAACAACAACAACTAAAAAGTAAAATATCTGAAAATTATGTGTTGCGCATCAAGGAATTTATGTAGTTTATTTACATTTTCTTATCAGATAAAAAAAATATTCACCTTAATTGAGTTTTTAATGCCCATCTTAAGATTTTATGCACATATTGGCATTTACATCCATAGTTTTTTTTATGCAATATCCCAAAATGTATATAAAAATACATGGATAGAGACATAGCCACCAGGCCAGAAGGGTCAAAAGAGCCTCTATGATATTCTGGTCTCTAAATATGATTCAGATTCCTCCTTCAATATTAGTTAACATGACATTTTGTCACCTGTTTTCTTGTTCGTTTGCTTAGAAAAGTAGCAGAACAACTCTCTTTAACAAGCCACATCATTTCAGATATCATTCATGTCCATAGCACAAACCATGCGGTATGAGTTAAGGGTTTTGAAAAAACACACCATCAGCAATACCACAAAAACAAAAGGAGTCGTTTGTGAAGAAATTAGTATTTCTTCGATAAGAAAAAACGCAAAGCTCATCCTCTCTAAACTCCTACAAAACATACCTGTCACATTAACGATGAAATAGTCAGAGTGGTTGCCGAACAAGCTCTGGACAGTGCAGGTGTAAAGCCCCGAGTCTGTCAGCTCCACTGACCCGATCTCCATCTGGCCCCTGTTCACCCGCATGTGGTCTCCATTCAGCACTGCAGCGTGGTCTTTAGTCCAGATGACCCCTAGGCATGTGATCGCGGTCTCGTCTTGAGCCAAGCACTGCAGCAACAAACGCTCCCCGGAGAACAATGTGTGCAGCTCCATTTTCACCTCTGTTCGGACTAGTGGTGGAACAGAAGACCAGCGAATGTTTGGCAAAGGGGGCACTGGATCAAAATCAGCATTTCAAAACAAAGTGTGAACAAGAGACGACTCTTGTCCAAAGAAAAGTGAAGAACCACAAAACTTAAAGTTAAGGGCCATGACTAACAAAAGAGGGAAGAGCTTTTAAAGCACCATGGGGAAAGAAAACTATGGAAGTGAAAAAAAACGAACGCATGAAATATGACAGGACCACCACCAACAAAAGAAATAAAGAATAAGAAAACTGCCACAAAGTCAAAGAAGAATAAAATGAGAAAGTAATGCAGAAATCAGATATTCGGAAACAACTCTGTGATCTACATTTTGTGAATCTCACAAAACCTGTCAAGATCATGTTTGGGCCATATTTTAACCTAAAATGAATAGTAAATAATTAATATTTTTTTGGACAAAGGAAATGCAACCTTAAGCATTAACATTTTTGCATGATTATATTATTTATTATAATTAAGCACACTACATGATACAAAAAAGCTAATTACAGTAATGAACAAAAATCTCTTCTTTTGACTAGAATGTGAAAATATGATGGTTTAATGATTTTAGCTATTTTATTTGTAAAGTATCTATATATCAGATAGTATTTGTTGTACTGCATTTAATCATTTAAAAAATAAAAAATAAATAATAATAATAATAATTGAAAATAATTAAAATAAAACATTGTATGGACAATTTCAGAAATATGATATGGTATTACAGGAATATAATGTTTGAGAAGAATAAGAATTGCAAAAAAAAAAAAAAAATGCACAATGCCACAATGCACAAAACCTAAATAGCCTTAATATGCTATTTTCTTAAATATAGTGCAGCAAAATATAATTGTTATAAATTATGAATAATTATTTCCTTTTTTTCTATTTTGTTTTTGAGGTGTAATGTGGTCCAGTCATGTTTATCATTAGATTCGCACAACTCGAAATGCGATACTTCCTTTACAAAAGAGGGGGAAGTTCTGAAGAAAAAATGAAACAGTTTAAAGATTAACCTCCTGTGGCCCATTACACTTATTAGGCCTGAGTTTCACTACATACCAAACAAAAGCCCAAAAATCCCTGACGCCAGAACATACAGCTGTCCCATTCAAAGAGACCCCCCACCAACCTAAAGTCACCTTAATTGTCAAACAAACTAATCCGTCCCTTTTGTCCTCCACAGTGTTTCCTGACAATGTGAGCGGATCTGTAAGAGACAGAAGGGGGAAAGAGAGCGCGTTTGGAGAGACGGAGAAGAGCCTGTAACAGCAGGTTCCTCGGCTAGTTGTCATGGAGATCTCACTTGAGCCAAGTGGAGGTATTTCCTGGATCACAGGCCCCTTAATCCCGGCAGGGAAACGGGACGAGAGGGGGTTGGGATCAACTTTCACTTCAGCCCAATTTAACAAAAAAAGCATGGTGTGCAGGAAAGGTTGAGGCTGAGGGAGATGCTGGTCTTGAAAATAAAATGAGAACTGATGTCTCATCCTATATCATTCCATTCATTTTATTTCCAGTCATTCCGGTCACTTACTAGAGCAGAAATATGACGTGCACCCCTAAACCTCACATTTACGAGTAAAACAGCACTTACAACTGCAGTTAAGAGGGCTGACAACTCCCAGCATGCCCTTTGATGCCTTTATACTAAACTTAAACCCTGGCTGTGTGACTATAGTTGCAATAAATCCAGATAAGTTATTTTTAGAGGAGTCTAGCATTTATTAATTCTTCATAGACAAGTGGTTTTGATTTAAGTGGCAAAAAAATTACAAAAATTTCCATAAAAAACATCAATCTTACCCTGCCTTTTATAGGCACAACAATATGCAACATTAAGAGTTTGGTTTCTAAATTGCTCTAGAAATTCAATTGTTTTGGCAACTGAACTGGTATTTAATGTAGTCTGTAGGTCTTTTTTAACTTTGCATATGGTTTTTGAGTATGACGACATGTCAAAGAGCCTGTCCTTATTAGCATGTGCCTAATTTAGCTAGCTTCTACCAAGTAATGAACTCATTCGAAGCAAATGTAGCAATTGATTTGAACAAAAGTTTGGGGTCGGTAAGATTTATTTTCAAATGAAAATGCTTAAGCTTACCAAGGCTGCATCTATGAGATCAAAATACAGCAAAACAGTACAATATTATTACAATTTAAAATAAATATTTTTTTATTTAATATATTTTAACATTTAGTTTATTCCTGTGATGCAATGCTGAATTTTCAGCATCATTACTCCGGTTTTCAGTGTCACATGATCCTTCAGAAATCATTCTAATATGCTGATTTGATGCTCAAGAAACATCTATTAAAATGAGCTTTTGCACATAAAACGGCACTGTGAATAAAAATGCAGTTAAATTTGACCCTCAACATGCAGAAATTCAAACCATTTCTCTGGTAAAATTTGAAGCAGTTGACAAAAAGGGGAGAAGTGCACCACCTAAACAGCCGAAATGGGGAAACTGTAAAATTGGAAGCACATTTTGTTTACTGAAGAAATTCTGTGGAAAAAATACTTGTTTATGACTGCTAGAAAATAATCTAACTAAATTAAAACGGAACATTTTCCATAAAACAGAAAAAATCTTGATATGCTCCTACGTCATTCTTCCCAGTCTGACTGACCCAAAAACACAAGCATGATTTCATCAGCGAGCCGTACCAACGCACATCTGTGTGCTCTAATTCAGACCGTTCCGGACTGGCTTCTTGGAGAAGTGAAGAGAATGTGTTTTCTCAGAGGGAGGCGGAGGCCCGACCCATTTGTCTTGGTCAGTCAGTCCAAGCGGAAGTGGACAACATCTGACATCACCTCATTATTCATCCGCAACATCTTTTAAAAGCCTAAATGTCATTGCATTTCCGATCATTATGAGCCTTTTAATGAACTAAACCTTCAATAAAAATAGCCTCAAATCCTTATAGCCGACCGTCTCTCCGCATCGACCAGGATTGGTGCTACGCTCTGGACTTGGCTGGGAATCAGTAAAGGAAGTCATAGCCTGGATGGATTGCTTCTGGGATTTCCTGCCTGGCTAGTAATTGTCCTGGGCACCGAGTCACTACAACAAGTTAATTCAGGGAAGAAGGCAAACAGACAGTTCGATCAAGGCAAACAATGGACCAAGAGTTTATGCAGCAACAGGATATGGACGATGGCTGTTTTCACATGCAGATGAGCTCTGCAGCCCACAGTGTACAACATATCAGTGTCTTAAGTGGCTGTGAATGGACACTATGTCCACTTGTAGGCAAACATGCATCATCAATAAGGCTGTAAACAACTGAGACTAGTGTAGGCGTGTTGGTGTCAGGCTGTCACAACAACAATTCTGACCCCTGCCTTTACAATAAAGTTAAAAGCAAATTATCAAACTTCAAGATTCGACTCAAAACAATGAACTATAAGGACGCATCAATATAAAAATTCAGACCAAAAAGATAATAATTTTCATGATATGACTAGTAATGACTAACCGAGACTTGTCATTTGCACTTATATATTGTTGCTCTTTTGTTAGTTTTGGCTGCTTTTATTGTCCTCATTTGTAAGTCGCTTTGGATAAAAGCGTCTGCTAAATGACTAAATAAATAAAAAAAATTATGATTAATATTAAAATTGAATACTATTTTGTCTAAATGTGAGCATGATGACAAAGATGATGATTTAAATGTAAAAAAAACAACTTAAAATAAAAAAGAAATTATTTACATTTTATATATATATATATGTGTGTGTGTATATGTGTGTGTGTTATTACAATTAACTAAAACCATAAAGCAATTTTCATTAATTGAAATAAAATTTAAAAAATCATTTTATTTTACTTAAAATAAAAAATAAATAATTTAATTATGGGTTATTACAGTTAACTAAAACCATGAAACAATTTTCATTACTTAACATCAAATAAATGTTAACTGAAATAAAATGTAAAAATTAACTCATTTAATTTCAGTTAGTTGCCATTTTTGGTTCAAATTGATGTACTACAATAATAAACTGAAATTAAAATAAATTAAAACTATATAGACATTTTTAATAAAGTACAAAAACACAAACTAGACTAAAACTAGACACTGATATCCAATATGGTACCAATATATCAAAACCAATGAGTAAGAGAGAAGCAGCTAATGAGCATTCCAGATATAATGAATAAATTATTCAAAGCCATTCTCCGATTGCTATAGAGGTCTGTATTGTGTTTGGAGAACTTTTAGCACATTGAGAAGTCTTTGTAATGCTGCGCATTCCACCGTGATCCATCTGAACCTCTAAGGTTTCAAGAAAGAGCGAAAGACCCCAAAGCTCTTTGGATGCATAAAGGAAAAGCATCTGGAATCCTACAGCACATCAGACCCTAATGAGTTCCAGCTCCGCTAGTTAACTCCACATCAAAAACAGAGCCGTGACCAGAACTCTGCTGCTGCATGAGCTGGAGCCAAGTGTAAACCAGCGAACATCAAATGAATGTATTCAAACCTAAATCACGCAAGTAAAAGATGTGCTGCTTTCTTCCATTTGTTTCGATTTGTGCCACCTCAGAATATGAACAGCCTGGAAGTGGACATGGGAACTGGAAAAACTTACCTTGTTCGGTTACTGCGGGACGTGAGTGGGCCAAGGGGAGCTGAGCTAGAATAACCCACAGGAGAAGCAAACGCCATGACTTCATCATCCTGAGAGAAGTCATGCCACGGCAGCTGGGCGAGGAGGGTGGGCCGAGTCAGCTCATTCACACAACTGTGGGCAGCACTGGCCCCTCAACACCGGAAGCATAGAGCTACCTGCCAAAAAGAGAATGTGTACAGGAATTAGTCTTACACGCTATGCATAGATGCAAAGGAGGAAAAAAATGAACTTTTCATTGGAATGATCTGGCTTTTGGAGATTTTTTTCCCCATTTTTTTTTTTAAATTGGCATTTATGGTTCCATGAAGGACCTTTAAAATCCTCGGAGCCTTTCCATTCTATAAAAGATTCTTTATAGTGGAAAAGAGTTCTTTACATGCTAAAAAATTTAGATGACTGTGGCAACAGGATTGCACAATAAAACTACACGTTCCATAATTCTCTGTGGCAACACAAAAATGATAAACTGCATACATAAAGCGTCAAATAAACATCTAATATGCAGTCTTTACTCTTAATTTTGTGAACGAGTCCATTTTATTCTGATCAAAATCACTTGAAGACACATCACATTGCAGTAGGAACAAGTTAAGGACTTAAAGCAACAAACCGTTCAAAAGTTTCAAATCAGCATATTATAATGATTTCTGAAGGATCACGTGGCACTGAAGACTGGAGTAATGATGCTGAATATTCAGCTTTGCATCAGAGGAATAAAATCAATTTTAAAGGGGTCCTATTATGCTCTTTTACAAAGTCTTGATTTTGTTTTGGAGGTGTACTAGAACAGGCTCTCATACTAGGTTGTTCGTAAAACAATTATTATTTTTCACATATTTTACATTACAACACCTCTCTCCCCAGTCTGGCATGAACGGCTCGAATACAGTTATTTTAAATTGTAATAATATTTCACAATATAACTGTTTTTACTGTATTTTTGATCAAAGAAATGCAACCCTGATGAGCACAAAAGACTTTATATTCATTAAAAAAATCTTACCAGCCCCACACTTTTGAACAGTAGTATAAGTTCCCACTTATAACTATATCAAAGAGCCACAAAATATAAGCCCAACTACACTCACGCTCTGCTTACAAAGACCAGACCGCTCTCATTTACTGAAATAATACCATCACCTGGCCATGAAGCCCATCTGGTACTCACTAATTCAACTTCTAAGGCTCCTTCATTGCTTTTAAATATTAATTAAGTTTGATTAGCATTGACAACTGTTCATGCATCAATTCACCACCCAATTAAACAACCACTGATAAATAATAACAAATCTCCTAAATTCAAAGCAACAATCATCCTATTACAAAAAATTCAAACTTAACCAAGAAAAGGCTGTAACTTAAACTAGATACCTCACAAATCAAAAAGTAGTTTAAACATGGTTTTCCCACAAGTATAAAGAAAACAGAGGCCCCAAACCTCTCGACCCCTCACCCAACAGCAGCTGCCCCCCTGAGTAGGTGTAGAGAGGCCATCCTGGTGGTGTGAAACACATCTGTTAATGCTATGACCCCCTAAGACTCGCCACTTGACACTTGGCTTTCCTCGGGACCACAGTCACGCCTCCATCCCTGCCAAACATTACCCAACAATAGCCCCGTAATCTGGTGGTTGTTTTTGTACCCCCTCCTCCAATAATCACGCTGCAAACCATTTGCTCTCGCACCTCCAACTTTACTCGCAATTTCCAATCTGAAACAACACAATTTGGTGCCACATGTTTTGCTCTCATTACTAAGAATGAGGGGAATTAGAGTATTAGTGAATGCAAACAAAGTTGTTTCAACTGATTAGCACCTTCATTGCAAGGCTCAGTTTCGCACAAGTGTGTTTAAAATACTCAACCATGATCTGTTTTCATCTAGAGGAGTTGAAGTACAGCAACATCCAATTCTGTTAATTATGATCGCCTCATAAGAATGATAAACGAGGGATGTCCGTCCATTACTGAGAGCTGTCGGATGGTTTTATGCCAGAGTAATTCGGCTAAAGGCAAGTACATGAAGAGACGGTCGTTCTGCGGTGGGTGGTGACCCTGAATGAAAAATCCTAAATGCTGATGTGCAGCGGGTTTATGATAAGGCCATAAACGCAGTTCATTTACCTCCCAGGCACTGTCCATAACCGGGTCAAAGCAGTAAAATGTAAGAATCTCTTAAACTGATGAGAATGTGGAGTTACTCATGGCACTTTTTCACACATTAAACTGCGGCACACTGGTGAGATTCAAAGAAATGTTATTGGATGAGCTATAAAAGTGTTTTTCAACAACAGTCACGAAACCATGTAAAAAAAAACGTGTAAAGTTCTAGAAGAATAATAGCTAACATGTTGCACAGTCCTACCACCAGTCTGATGGATTTTGAAATAAAAAATAGAGATTAATAGTGCTCATGCTTGATAGCTTGTGCTTTTTAAAACATTATGTGCAGGAAACAAGCCATTTCCAATGTTAAACGAGCCATAACATCAAAATAAATAATATAAAATAAATACTTTGAAACAATTTTCACTCAGAAATTGCTAGTAAATTTCACAAATAACTACAAAGAAATGGCAAGTAATTAAACGTGAAATTCCAAAGAATAAAATCGTATTTTCTTGTAAAACATACTCAAATAATCTGTTTTATTTAGCTTTAACTTTGAAAAAGAAAAGAAAAAAAATAATCTCTAATTAAACTAAACATCTTTAAAAAAAAAAAAACAATATCAAATATTATATAAAAAATAATGTATGCATATTACAGATTAGCAAATATGAAAATGCATATAACTAATTAAATAAATTATAAATTATATATAAATGTACAGACAGCAAAAACAGTTAATAAAATGAATATATATATATATATATATATCAAAAATAATTAACAGTTTTATTTATTTTCATATCTGGCCCTAAATAACCTTTCAGTAGTTGTTTATACTTGTACTATTCTCTTTTGCAAGCTGCTTTGGACAAAAGCCTCTTCTAAATGGATAAATCCAAACAAAGAAAATTCTACTCAACTACTGCCACCAAAACAGCATTGAAACCAGCAGTCCTTTCAGAGTTCTCCACAGTAATGCAAAAGGAGCATTTGAAAAGCCCATTGTGATAATTAAAGTTCGGAGTTTGCTGTGTTCCCTACCCCCCTGAGAGTCCAGCCCGGACCCTTAATTACTATGCTGCTGCGTCCATGCATGACATTCCTCGACTTGGTGTTTGTTTTGGGAGATAGTCATGCAATCCATCCCAGGACCCCTCCAACCCACAACTCCCCCACCACCCCCTATTCTCGACCGCCTGGGTAGTTATCAGGCTTTACACCTGTAATTGTATAGATTAGGAAAGGAAATCCAAGTGAATTACTTTGCCATTTGCCTTCCTATCCACACCTCTGTTGGCTTTGTTTTGCATAATCTCTTATACACAGTAAAAACTCTGAAAAATGGAAATGACATTAGTGGTTATGCTCTCTTAAAAATAAAGGTTCTTCAATAAAGGTTCTTCCAATTGGCATCAATTGTTTCATGGAGAACTTTTAACATTACATTGCACAAAAGGTTCTTTCTAGTGGAAAAAGGTTGTTTAGATTATTAAAATATTCCTCAAACTAAGAACTTCACTGTCAAGGTTCTTTGGAGAACCCAAAATGGTTCTTCTGTGGCATTGCTACGAAAAACTCCTTTTGGAACATCAAAAGTTATAAACCATAAATATGATTCATGGAATATCTAAAATTCTGGACGAAACCAGCAGCAGGAATAACCACCTGGTGCATGGACGCAGCTCGTCTTTCAGCGCATCCAATATTACACATTCAATTTGGATGGGCTCCAGTTGACATACTATGAGATTTGGCTGTAACTCGGCACAAAGTGCCACAATAAGTCAATATGGGCTCCTCTGGGAGGGAGGTTGTGGTTTTGAAAAATATCATTTTATTCATAAATCATCTCTGAAATTAATGCTTGTGGAATGAAGTAGTCATCCTCAGAGATGCTGACATGCCGACACATTCACTCGTGATCAGAAAGTGGCCCTACATTAGCGCAACATCTCGAGCATGGGACTGACTCAGTTTCAATGGTTCTTGACCAAGATGTTTAGAATGACTCTACTAGTGCTAGTGCTACTATCTTTCCCCCTAAAGTCTACAACAGAGGTCGGCCAGGGAATATCAGCTCAGTTAAATCACACACAAAAAAACCCTGATTTATCATTAACACAGAAACAGATCCTGGAAAGGTTTGTTTCCTCAAGGAACACAATGCATCCATAAGAAACACTGGACAGGCAATACCACCTAGGGTTTTACAGCTCAAAATAGGTCACTTTTCATATTCATTTATATGCAAATTGAGGGAACACAATGTAGCATTCTTATTCTACTCCTGCTGTGAGCACCTATTCATGGGTTGTCTCTTCATGAATGTGCAAATACAATGGAAATGGGAATATTTTACTTTAAAAAGCACAACTATATAGGCTATATGTATAAGGTTCTATACATATAGCCTATAGTACACATATAGACTCTATTTATCTTTATATCTCAATAATATAGGCTGTAACAACACTTCTGTATTGACCTCTCTACATAAAACGTTCAAAATAAAGTTTCTTTAAAATACGCAGAAATATATAAGTGTCTGAAGTGTTTTTCTTACGACTCGGGCGTATCTTTCATATAGCCTACTTCAATAAAAATAAACATCACAGGCATCAGATAACACGTAAAATGTTGAGGTTCTTCTCAAAGTTAAAAACACTCACCTCTGGATGTTACTGTGAGCACTGGGTTGTGTTGAAGTGCACTTCTTGTGGGAGTTATTTAGGTTTGTAAAACATTACTCCAAAACAAGCGTTCTCCGTAGAAAATGTCCCACGCTGAAGTTGATGCAAAAGTAGCGAGGAAAAAAAGAGTCACGTTTAAACCAGCTGAACCACACAAAAGCTTTTGGTCCAGGTGCGTAGAGGGACCTGAGAAAACTTCCACGTCTTTGCTGTTTGGGAATTTTTTCATTCGTAAACTCGCGCGGGTGTCTCGCGGCGAACGGAGATTTACGAGTCACACCGAAGTAAACTGCTGCGAATGTGCGTGTTTGTCTTGCGCTTTCTCTGTTGCTCACAGCAGCGATTCTTCCTCTCGAAATGAATATGAAGGAGGTTTTTTTTTCATCGTACCTCCCACTTCCAGGATTTGAGGATTCAAGAATTCCACTGCCCCCCTCCACCAGCCCCCCAGTGCGATCCTCCCATTCACCTCTGAAACTCAATGCAGATACACTGCTGGTCCTTACCAACTCACATCTACTTATTCATTTACTAAATAAGAAGATAGATATAGACAGACAAACAGTCATATAGATAGATAGATAGATAGATAGACAGACAGACAGACAGACAGAGAACGATAGATAGATAGATAGATAGATAGAGAACGATAGATAGACAGACAGATAGATAGATAGATAGATAGAGAACGATAGATAGACAGACAGATAGATAGATAGATAGATAGAGAACGATAGATAGACAGACAGATAGATAGATAGATAGATAGAGAACGATAGATAGACAGACAGATAGATAGATAGATAGATAGAGAACGATAGATAGACAGACAGATAGATAGATAGATAGATAGAGAACGATAGATAGACAGACAGATAGATAGATAGATAGATAGAGAACGATAGATAGACAGACAGATAGATAGATAGATAGATAGAGAACGATAGATAGACAGACAGATAGATAGATAGATAGATAGAGAACGATAGATAGACAGACAGATAGATAGATAGATAGATAGAGAACGATAGATAGACAGACAGATAGATAGATAGATAGATAGAGAACGATAGATAGACAGACAGATAGATAGATAGATAGATAGAGAACGATAGATAGACAGACAGATAGATAGATAGATAGATAGAGAACGATAGATAGACAGACAGATAGATAGATAGATAGATAGAGAACGATAGATAGACAGACAGATAGATAGATAGATAGATAGAGAACGATAGATAGACAGACAGATAGATAGATAGATAGATAGAGAACGATAGATAGACAGACAGATAGATAGATAGATAGATAGAGAACGATAGATAGACAGACAGATAGATAGATAGATAGATAGAGAACGATAGATAGACAGACAGATAGATAGATAGATAGATAGAGAACGATAGATAGACAGACAGATAGATAGATAGATAGATAGAGAACGATAGATAGACAGACAGATAGATAGATAGATAGATAGAGAACGATAGATAGACAGACAGATAGATAGATAGATAGATAGAGAACGATAGATAGACAGACAGATAGATAGATAGATAGATAGAGAACGATAGATAGACAGACAGATAGATAGATAGATAGATAGAGAACGATAGATAGACAGACAGATAGATAGATAGATAGATAGAGAACGATAGATAGACAGACAGATAGATAGATAGATAGATAGAGAACGATAGATAGACAGACAGATAGATAGATAGATAGATAGAGAACGATAGATAGACAGACAGATAGATAGATAGATAGATAGAGAACGATAGATAGACAGACAGATAGATAGATAGATAGATAGAGAACGATAGATAGACAGACAGATAGATAGATAGATAGATAGAGAACGATAGATAGACAGACAGATAGATAGATAGATAGATAGAGAACGATAGATAGACAGACAGATAGATAGATAGATAGATAGAGAACGATAGATAGACAGACAGATAGATAGATAGATAGATAGAGAACGATAGATAGACAGACAGATAGATAGATAGATAGATAGAGAACGATAGATAGACAGACAGATAGATAGATAGATAGATAGAGAACGATAGATAGACAGACAGATAGATAGATAGATAGATAGAGAACGATAGATAGACAGACAGATAGATAGATAGATAGATAGAGAACGATAGATAGACAGACAGATAGATAGATAGATAGATAGAGAACGATAGATAGACAGACAGATAGATAGATAGATAGATAGAGAACGATAGATAGACAGACAGATAGATAGATAGATAGATAGAGAACGATAGATAGACAGACAGATAGATAGATAGATAGATAGAGAACGATAGATAGACAGACAGATAGATAGATAGATAGATAGAGAACGATAGATAGACAGACAGATAGATAGATAGATAGATAGAGAACGATAGATAGACAGACAGATAGATAGATAGATAGATAGAGAACGATAGATAGACAGACAGATAGATAGATAGATAGATAGAGAACGATAGATAGACAGACAGATAGATAGATAGATAGATAGAGAACGATAGATAGACAGACAGATAGATAGATAGATAGATAGAGAACGATAGATAGACAGACAGATAGATAGATAGATAGATAGAGAACGATAGATAGACAGACAGATAGATAGATAGATAGATAGAGAACGATAGATAGACAGACAGATAGATAGATAGATAGATAGAGAACGATAGATAGACAGACAGATAGATAGATAGATAGATAGAGAACGATAGATAGACAGACAGATAGATAGATAGATAGATAGAGAACGATAGATAGACAGACAGATAGATAGATAGATAGATAGAGAACGATAGATAGACAGACAGATAGATAGATAGATAGATAGAGAACGATAGATAGACAGACAGATAGATAGATAGATAGATAGAGAACGATAGATAGACAGACAGATAGATAGATAGATAGATAGAGAACGATAGATAGACAGACAGATAGATAGATAGATAGATAGAGAACGATAGATAGACAGACAGATAGATAGATAGATAGATAGAGAACGATAGATAGACAGACAGATAGATAGATAGATAGATAGAGAACGATAGATAGACAGACAGATAGATAGATAGATAGATAGAGAACGATAGATAGACAGACAGATAGATAGATAGATAGATAGAGAACGATAGATAGACAGACAGATAGATAGATAGATAGATAGAGAACGATAGATAGACAGACAGATAGATAGATAGATAGATAGAGAACGATAGATAGACAGACAGATAGATAGATAGATAGATAGAGAACGATAGATAGACAGACAGATAGATAGATAGATAGATAGAGAACGATAGATAGACAGACAGATAGATAGATAGATAGATAGATAGACAGACAGAGAACGATAGATAGATAGACAGACAGACAGACAGACTCTCTATTTGCCATTAAGAAAAATGCCAAAATATTGAATTACCAATTCCAATTTGGTATAAAATCTTCGCTATAGTGTAATTCAGCACATAGCGCTGTATGGAAGTGAGGTATGGGGTCCACTCAGTGATCAGAGCTACACTAGATGGCACAGACATCCAACAGAAGCCCTTCTCACAGAATTCTGCAAAATGATTCTAAATTACAAAGGAGAACACCCAATAACACATGTAGGGCAGAATTAGGCCGAGTCCCATAGATTCATTTTAATGTTTTAACTACATTTTAAAGTGCTACAAACTCAAGAACTGAACCCTGAAAAAAGTCCCCTAAGTCAACTGGTTCTGAGACTTACTAACCTGACTAACTCTACCAACACTAACCAGTCTTAGACCAGCACTGCTTCTCACCCAAACATCAAAATAAATCCAATGATCAAACAATCTAAAAATATATATCTGGAACATTGGGATCAAGAAACTAAAACACAAAGTAAATTACAACTCTATCGAACTATAGAGTCAAATTATGAATTGGAAGAATATCTCCAGAGTGTCAGAGAAACAAAGCAGAGACAGATCCTGACCAAGTACAGGCTCAGTGAACACAGTCTAGCCATTGAGACCGGCAGACACAAAAAGAGAGCAAAGAGTGTGTGCCCACTGTCAGACAGGAGAGATCGAGACAGAGACGCACTTCCTACTTCACTGTTACAAATTTAATAATAATAATAATAATAATTTGTTACATTTATATAGCGCTTTTCTGGGTATTTTTTACATGAAAGCGGGGGAATCTCCTCAACCACCACCAGTGTGCAGCATCCACCTGGATGATGCGACGGCAGCCATAGGCCAGAACGCCCACCACACACCAGCTTATTGGTGGAGAGGAGACAGAGTGATGAAGCCAATCAGTGTATGTGGATGATTAGGAGGCCATGATGGTCAGAGGCCAATGGGCAAATTTGGCCAGGATGCCGGGGTTATACCCCTACTAGTTTTCAAAGGACATCCTGAGATTTTTAATGACCACAGAGAGTCAGGACTTCGGTTTAACGTCTCATCCGAAAGACGGTGCTTTTTGACAGTATAGTGTCCCCGTCACTATACTGGGGCGTTAGGACCCACACAGACCACAGGGTGAGCACCCCCTGCTGGCCTCACTAACACCTGTTCCAACAGCAACCTAGTTTTCTCAGGAGGTCTCCCATCCAGGTACTGACCAGGCTCAACCCTGCTTAGCTTCAGTGGGCATCCAGTCTTGGGCTGCAGGGTGACATGGCTGCTAAATCAAACATGAACAAATTCACAAAAATCATAAAGAACTTTACAGCCATGACTGAAGAGGAACAAATCAAGAGTACTAGGAGTGGGACAGACAGCAGCACTGGCTGCGAGATATGTGTGGATGTGCCACAGCCTGAGAGACAGCAGGAGAATGTGTGTAGTGTGTGTATCTGACCTCCGTGTGTTTCCCTTCTATCCACCACAGTGACCCTCAGCATGTGTGTGTTTATGTTAAACACTGTGGTATCAAATGTTCACACGCTCTAATTTGTTACAGTTTATTTGTTTAAATTGTTATGTTTGCTTCTATAATTTTGATCTCTATTATTATATTTCTCCACATATATTCCATAATATATTGTTGTTGTTTTTTACAGTCATGCCAATAAAGCAATTTTGGAATTTAGATAGATAGATAGACAGACAGACAATGGGTGTGTTATTGTATGAGTCTCCATTTCTAATTGGATTGATTGGTTCAGTTGATCTCATGTGGTCTCAGAGCACTTAATGTCAGAGTGACTGGATTGAAAATATGAACTGCAAAAACAAATAAAGACTCCATTTACTGTTCAAGTCAATAATTACCCAGTCAACTGTATTCATCAATGTCCCATGAAGAAGAGTTCTGTTGGAATATATATATCGGCCAAATTTCACTTA